GGATTTAGTTTAAAAGAATTTTATATAATATTTTATTAAAATTTTAAAAATTAGACCGAAAACTAATTTATAATAATTAACCGACCTATTTTAAAACAATTTTTTAATATTGTCGAAAAAAACGATATTAAACTCGAAGGCGATATAAAAACGGAAATATTAATTAATTTTTTTAAAAAAAAAAAGTTTAAACGATGCTTTTTACGCGACTTTTTTAATTTTTATTCTAAATTACGTAATATTACCGAAACTATCGAAAATAATAACGATTTTTTAAGCCGAAAATCTACATTTTTTGTATAATTTTAATAACTTTTTTTACCGATATAAAAAAAATCTATAACTTTAATTATACGAAAAAATTAAATATTTAATAATTATTTAATATTTTAAATTTTGCTAGAAATAAAATTTATACAAAAAACCTAAAATTATACCGTTAATTTTTATATAATTTAATTTATATCGGTAAATTTTTATATAGAAAAAAATTTAAAATATATTTAAAACAACTTTATAATTTACTATTATTAAAAATAATACTAAATTTTGCAATTAATTTATAAAAATATATCGTTTTTCAAAAAAAAAAAAAAAAAAAAAAATAACTATACCGAAAAACCGTTTAACATTTTATATAATAAAACGCAAATTTTTATTAATTTATACAAAATATTAGAAATTTCCGAAAACTGCTATTATATGATATTTTTTACGATCTTTTTTAATTATACAAATAAATATTATTAAAAAAATATTAATTCCAAAAAACGATAAAATAAAATATATACAATTTTAAATTTAATATTTTAATATAAATTTAAACTATTTAATTTATTAAACGATTTAAATAATTATAAATTATTATTATATTATATAATATAATTTTATATTTTTAAAAATAAAAATATTAGAAAAACTTTTTATTATATTATAAAAATATTAACGTATATTTAAAAGAAAATATTAAAAAAAAGTTTATTTATATATAGTAATTATTTAAATATATACTAAAATATTAAATTTAAAATAAATATTAATTAATAAAAAACCGATATATAAAAAATTATTTTTTAATTTTCGCATAACGATATATATAATATTAAATTAAAATATTAAAAGCTAATTTTTTTTAAAACGAAAATATAAAAATATTAAAAGCTTATTATTATAATAAAAAATATAATTATACGAAATTCAAATTTTTTAATAACTATTTTTTGCGTAAAACACGACTAAAGTTTTTATTTTGAAAAAACTATTTAAAACTACGTTTCGTGCAATAAAAAAAAAGCCGAAAAATGTTTTATAATAATAAAAAAAAATGTTTCGTTTACGAAAAAAAAAGCTGCTAGTTAATAAATTATTTTTTTAAAAAAAAAAAATTACGTAAAAACTTAATATTTAATATAATATTTAAATTTATCTATGCAAAAATTTGAGTTTTTTTTATAAAAATTCGAAAAAGATTTTAATTTTAATAAACTTAAAAAAAAAGCAGTATAAATAGCAAAAAAAGCCGAAAAACTATATAATATTTAATAAATAAAGCTTTTTTTTATTATATAATAAAAAAAATTAATTAATTTTTAATAAATAAAACGATAAAAACTAGTTAATTTATTTTAAATAATTTATATAAAAAAAAATATTAAAAAATCTTTTAAAATATTGATATAATAGAATTTTTATAATAAAAAAATAATAAGCTTTTATTTTTATATAAGCTAATTTAAATATAAAAATTAACTAGAAATAAAAAAAAATAATTATATAATTTAGAAAAAAAAAATCTAGCTTTTTTATTAACAAAATAATTATTAATATTTTAGTTAAACGCGTTAAACTTTATATTTTAAATATACTAATTTTATTTTTAATATTATTATATAATATAAATAAATTAAAAATATATTTTAATAATATTTTCGATATTATTATATAAAAAAATAAAAAAACGATTTTAGTCGTACAAAAATAAAGGCATTTGTTTTTTTATTTCGAAAAAAAATAAAAAATTATATATTTTATAAAAGCGAAATTAAAAAGTTTTTATAAAAAATTTAACTATTTTTTAATAAAATGTTTATATTAAATATTGAAAAACGCTAGCTATATTAATATATAAAAAAATATTTTAGAAAAAATTCGAAAATTTTACTATTATTACTAATTATACGATTTATTTTTAAAAAAAATTTAAATTTTCTATTAAAAATAATTGCAATTTTAATTATTATATAATAAAACTCGGTGCTAAAGGGTGCAGGTGCATATGCTAATATTCCGTATATTAATAATTTAAAAAAGAGAGTATAGGGGCAAGGCCCTACGCATAGAGACACCCACCATATAGATATGTGGGGCCCCGGCTGCTATCTTATCTAATCTAATCAGCTTATCTAATCTACATTCACCCCTGGTGAGGTTGCTGCCTATATAGGCGCGCGTTATATAATTAGTAATATAATATATTTAAATAAAAAACCGGTTTTTTATATTATCGACAAAATTACGTTGTTTTAAGTTGCAAATTTTTTTAAATCTTTTTTTATACAAAATATATAAATAGTTTTTTATAATTGCTAAATTAATATTTACTAAAAATTACCAGATATTATTTTATGTAATATTGAAATAAATTTTTTTTCTAAAAAATTTAAAAACAATATATAAATTGTCGGTATAAAATGCTACAAAATACTCGTCGAAATATATTAAAATATTAAAAAAATCGAACGCGTATACGAGCTTTTTCAGAAAACTTTTAAAATCTTTTCCAAAAAATTAAAAAATCGCGCAAAAAATCAAAACATTTTCTAAATAGCGATAAAAACTTTTAATAATATCGTTAATTTAAACGACTTAATATTAACGTTATTTATTTTCGGCATATATTTAAAAATAAATTATATTTTTTTTTTATTTTTGGATATTATATTTTATATAATAATTATTTAAAAAACTATAAAAACGATTTATAAAATTTGTATAAAAATAGATATTAACTAAATACTAAATACCCAAAATATTACCCGATCGTAAAACGTTTTAAAAAAAATTTATAATTAAAAATAATAATATAATATAAAAAAAATAGCTAAAAAACTTTTTAAACTACAGTTTTTTAAAAAAAAAATTTTATTGCTAAAAATAATATATAATTTTGATATATTTAAATAAAACTATATTTTAGAAAAAAATCGCACAATTTAAAACCAGAAGAAAAAAAAACAAATTTTTAACAAAATTATTATATACCTTTTTTATATAAACAAAATATATAAAAATATTTCGAAATAAAAAAAAAGCGTATAACTTCGAAAAATTTGTTAAAATATAAATATTTTTATAACTAAAAAAAAAAAAAAAAAACTATAAATTAGCTATATAACTATATTAAAAAAAGAAAATAATTATTTTTAAATAGCTATTTTAAAAATTTAATATAATAAAAATTAATAATTTTATTATAATAGAAATTTTTAAATTTATACGATATAATTTAAATTTCTATAATAATTTTTAAATTTTTAAAATACGCCTTATACGAAAAGTAAAAAAAAAACGATAAAACCGTATAAAAAATTAAAATTAATAATCTAAAAATATAAAAACGATAAAAAAAAAATTATTTTAACGTAATCTTTAATTATTTAATAAATAAGCTAGTAATTAATTTTTATACTAAATTTTTTATTAAAAAAATTATATAATAAAAAAAAAAACTTTAAAATATTACCTAAATATATATTTAAATAAAGGATATATTTATATAAAATATTTAAAAAAATATTTTTATATATTATATAACTATTATATAATTTAATAGAATTAAAACTTTATTAATTTAAAATATATTATATTTATTATTATATAAAGTTTAGAATAAAAATTTTAATATATAATTTATATTTATTTCTTTTAAAAATAAAAAAAAGCTTTTTTAAAATAATTAAATTTTAAATAAATAATATATTTAGTTTTATTATCAAAGAATTTTTAGTTTTTAAAAAAAAAAAATCAAAAAAAGCAAACTTTTATATAAAAAATAAAATAACTTTAAAATATAAATAACTAATTAAATTTATTAATAATAATATATTTTTTTATTAATATAATTAAATAATATATTTTTATATAATTAATTATAAAAAACTAAAAATAATATAAAACTATACAATATAATAAGTAAAAAAAATATATATTATATCGATTTATTAGTTTAAAATATTATATAATTTTTTTATTATAATATAAATAATTAAATTTAACAAAAAAAATATTAATTTATTAAATATATAATTTTAATAATAAATAGATAATATAATATGAAAATTTCGTTATATTTTACTAAAATTAAATTATATAAAATTGTTTATTTTTATTAATAAATTTTTTATAAATAATATAAATTTATTATTATAATTTGGTTTTTTAATTATTTTTAAAATAGAAAACTATATAAAAAATATTTTTTTAATTAACAAAAATATCGTATATTAAAATTTTTTTAAATATAAAAAAATAATAAAAAATATACTTGTTAATAAATTATATAATATAATAACTAGTTTTAATTATATAATTATATTAAATATAATAATATAATAAATTATTTATATAATAAATATTTTCTAATTTTTAATTATTATTTATATTAATTCGAAATTGTTATATAAATATTTTGTTAAATTTAATATAACGATAAAAAAACGGTTAATGATTAATATTATATTATTTTAAAAATTGTATAAAAATAGAAAAATTTTAAAAATATAATAAATCGACAACAAAAATAATTTTATAAATATATTTATTAAAAAATCGCCAAATAATATATTAAAAAAACTAATTTTAATAAATTAATTAATTATATAAATAAAAACTTTTATAAAATAAAAAAAACTATAACTATAAAATATATTATATAATTATTAATTATATAGTAATTAAAAATATATTATTATTTATAAAGTTTAAATATTTTAATAATTATAGATTTATTAATTTAGCGGTATAATTTTAAATATTATTCTAGAAATTTTAAGTTCGAATTTTAAATAAATTTTTATTCGGAAATAAAAATCTTTTAAAAGGTTTCTATTTTTTAGTGTTTTTTTTTCTAAATTTTTTTTATTTGCGCGAAATATTTCTTTTATAACTTTTAATCTAGTTTAAAAAAGAAAAAAACAATACAGTTAGTAGAATTTTTTTTTTTTTTAACTTATTTTATATAAAAATTAATATAAAAAATAACTTATATAAACTACTATTATATATTTTTCGATTATTATATATATATAATATAAATGTTATTATAAAAACTTAATAATATTATATAATTATTATATAATAATTTATTATATTTTAAAAAAACTATATAATAAATATAAAATATATATAAACTATAAAAAACGATAAAAAATAACGGTATAACTAAATTAATATAAAATAAAAATATTTTTTATAATAAATTATTTACGTTTATAATTTTTAAAAAATCTAATTTTTAAAATAAATATAAATATTAATAAACAATAAAGCTACTATTTAAATTTTAAAAAACTATTATATAATTAATAATAATAATAACTAAAAATTATATAATATTTATATTAATAATAAAATTATTAATTAAAGCTTAAAAATTTAATTAACCGATATTAAAAATAATAAATTAGTTATATAAATTAATATTTATAAAAATATAATTAAACAAACTTTAACTAATTAACGTAATAAACATAATATTATTACTTGACAATTATATAATTTATTAATTGCTAAAAAAATACAAAAATTATAGACATTATTAAATTTATAAACGCGTCGATAATAGTAATATTAAAAGCAACAAAAATATTACTAAAAATATTATTTATAAGCGGCGTATTTTAAAAAAAATTGATTAAAAAAGAGCTAGTTAGGATTTATTTTATAATCGTGCGAGAAAAAAGAAAAAAAAAAAAAAAAAGAGAGAAAAAAAAAATAAAAAAATAAGTTGCCAAAAAAAAAAAACCGCGCCAAAAAAAAAAAAAACGAAAATCTACTTATAACTCGTACAACTTTTTATTATTAAAATTATTATTTTAATATTTACGACTATAATAATAAAAAAATCTAAATTATTTTCTTTTTACCGGACTATTTCTTGTACAATTTTAAAAGCAAATATTTAAATAAAAATATAAAATAAAAGCCAAATTACGATATTACACGACTTTTTTTTAACTACTACATTAATTTATTCCTATTTATTAAGTAATATTTTATTAATTACTATATATTTTTTAGCTTTTTATATTACTTTCGTTATACGATTTTTTTTTTCTTTTTATTTATATATAAAATTATTTTTAAAAACTTGCGTAACTCTAACTTCTACTTTTAAAAACTCGTGCAATTCTAATTTTTTATTAATACAATATAAAAAAGTTAGACCGCGTAAGAAAAAAAAAAGTCCCAATATTAAATAAATCATCACGTAATACCCGCACGATCCACTTGGAAATAAAAATCTCGCGCGAGTGAAGGATTTTTATAGTTCTAGATTATCAATCAATCATTATTAAATATATTTGCATTTACTACTTCACCTCGTATAGCTATATATAGCCTATCTAACAGCAGACCTCACTTTGACTACATTATTAAAAACATAAGAGGCGTTTCAGAGATAGAACTTTCATAGAACTTGGTTTATAGCGAGGGACCAATAACCGAAGATACGGTAAAGAAAAAGACGGGCCCGGAAAAGTATAGCCCAGTACTCTCAGCCTCATACTAATAGTCAAATCCGCTAGAGCTCGCTGTCTTCCAGACAGATCTAGACCGCATAAGAACATCACATGGTAAACAGCAACACTACCATGATTTTCTGGCAAGAGCCGAGGAAAATAAATGGCATGCTTCTCTTAACATAACTTTTATTGCAGTATTGAATATCACCATATCTTTGGCCTCAATGAATCTTCAATTTAATGTTACTGTTAATACTATTTAGGTCAGAATTTAATAGAATCTAATGCATATTATCATAATGTTGTGTAGTTATGCGAGAGAGTATATCAAAAGTATATCACTTTTTATTTACACCGCTGGTCTGGCTTGATCAATAGCAATCTGCATCGAGAGGCGCTTCCAACGCCTCCTCAAATGACCATGGCTACTGATCAACCTATCGTTCAGCAAGCCTCTCTCGTCATTAGAATCCCGAGACCAACCCTTTGCTCAGCTGCCCCACGATCACACTACTGCGTGACGCTTTCGCTTTTGGGGATGGTCCGTTCGTGCTTTCCGATCTATAGAATCTTCTGGCCATCTGGGTCATGACTTTGCCTCGCAAATGTACCATAAAGTGTGATATACATCCTAGAACTTGGATTGGAATTTCATGTATTAAAACATCACACATCAAGTTGACCACTTTATTGTAGATCAAGACAGTCTGACAGCATAGCCATGGCTACCATCACCGTCAACGGCAACACTATCGATCCAGATGCCGATCATCACGTTTCAACGGATGCTAAGCATTCTGACTTCATCTACGTGCAAGGCCATAATGATCTCAGCATCAAAGAGAAGCAAGACTTAGCCGAGTTAGGGGTCGATATTCAAGAATACGTCGCAGAATATACATACTTATGCTACTACAAGCCGGCTGACCTCGACAAAGTTCGAGCACTGCCTTTTGTCAAATCTGCCAATATGTAAGTGACAGTGATGAACTGCTGAATTGATGGCAACCGCCAGTCCTCGCTCGTTATTCAGTTGTGATGCCGAAATCCTCTGACACTGTCACCAGTTATCATTCAGAGCTAAAAAGCACTATTTCTCTCAAGCAGATGGTCGATGGAGATGCAGATCAGACAGAATACCAGGTAGATCTCATTCTCCATGACCATCAAACGCTTAGTTCTATGGATTTAGCACCGGCCGTAGCTCATGTGGCCGATGTGGCCATGAATCAATTGGAAATCGCGCCTACCAAGATTAGACTCACAGTGCATCAGGACAAGCTATCCGGGCTCGCCAAGCTTGATGCGATCAATAGGATTGAGGAAGTGAGACAGAAGAGCCTGTACAACGATCTTGCTCGGGGTACTCTACAAGCCGACTCCCTCACTATTAAAACACGCTATCAAGGGGAGGGCCAGCTGGTATGCGTGGCTGATTCCGGCTTCGATCGAGGTCTGGCTCGTGACAACCTGGATATCAAGGTTCATCCGGCGTTCGCAGGCCGCGTGGACCGCCTCGATGCTCTCTGGCCTGGGCACGACGCTCGAGACCCTATCGGTCACGGCACTCATGTGTGCGGATCAATATTGGGGAACGGCGTGTATAAAGACCCTGCTCAGGGAGCAGATCCTATAAGTGTAAAAGGAACAGCACCCTCTGCCAGGCTGATGATGCAGTCAATATCAGAAATGCTTCCTGATGGGAAATGGCACATAAGGACGCCTGTGGATCTGTACCAACTATTCCTTGACCCGTACCGGCGAGGAGCGCGAATCCATAACAACTCTTGGGGCGACAAATGGGACTACAAGACTGGTCAGCTCGGTTACGAAAACGACGCGACCACAATCGACAGGTTCATCTACGACCATCAAGATTTCGTTATCCTCATCGCGGCTGGGAATGACGCCACAGCGCAGAGGCATGGCATCAGCCAAATTGGCGACAATAGCGCAGCTAAGAATTGTATTACCGTGGGAGCCACAGGCACAAGCCGACCTAACGACGGGATCAAATACGACCCTAAGCAGCTCTCAACGCTGACGAAGCCATGTAAGTACACGGACACTGCTACCACGAGTAGTCGAGGCCCTACTAAGTCCACCCTGGATTCCAATAAAAATCCAGTCCGAGGCCGTATCAAGCCGGACGTAGCAGCGCCAGGCGTGTGTGTACTATCAGCAGCATCTCGATCGCTGCCTCTAGACGCCAAATACAGACAGAACTTCGGACCGTCAGCCGACGCGGATTGGCTTTACCTGTCTGGCTCTAGCATGGCCACACCACTTGTCTCTGGGTGCGCAGCGCTCATCCGTGAGGCGCTGCAGAAACACAGCAAGATGTGGCGACCCAGCGCGGCGCTCGTCAAGGCGCTCTTGATCAACGGTGCCGTCAACTATAACGCAATCCAGAACAAAAGTGACCTTGGCTATGACTACGAGCAGGGTTTTGGGCTGGTCAATGTCGACAGCTCCATTGCTATGGTAGAGCAGTCGAGTTTTGTCGACGGGTCAATAAGCGACAACGCAAGTCAGAAGAACCTTTTTCCGACAGCACACGATGTGCCTACGCTGTGCCTCCTCCCAGAGACATCGAGAAGCTGGGTCAGTCCGCCAATACCCATTCCCAACGACCGCAATAGACTGGCCGTCACCCTCACGTATCCCGATCTCCCTGGCGCGTTGCTGCAAAACGATGTGAACCTGATTGTCCGGGCTGGAGACGCAGAGAGGTATGGAAACATGGGTAGTAGCGGAACCGAGTTCGACACCGTCAGTGAGTAGTTCCCCCTATGCCCGTCAAATCTGGTGCGCACCCTTCTAATCTATATGTATGTGCAGACAATGTCGAGAAAGTCATCTGGGAGGATGTACCAGGCAGCACAATAACAATCATTGCTCAAGCTAACAGCTTCACTAAGACAGATGTTGATCAATCCTTTGCGGTAGCTTGGGACTTTCGCGCTTTGTAGACAGTAGAGAGGACACATAGTCTAGATTGCGTAAAGCTTTGGAATCAAAGTACCTTTTTGTATCTTGATTTGTCTAAGTAAATTGAGCGCCTCCCGACTGCCTTGTCGAAGGGAAGAAGGAGCGTGGCTTTATTGGATAAATCAACGAGCGCAAAATCGACGTTCCGCAAGGTCTGCAACTAATTGATGTGGTTGGCTATTCTCAGGTTGTCATTGTATCACGTCATCCCGAGGCTGGACTCTGACTGAGTTTTATAGGTAAGCTAGGTATAATACCAAATTGCTTTTGCTGAAAGACATTTTCCTTGACGTAATGCTTGATATGTGATTTGTTGTAGGCTGTACGAAGAAATAGT